CATCAAAATCAACCTGAATGACAAATTTGCTCGTTAGCTGTGCCAATTGACTAAGTTCTAACTGTGACGAGATCCCTTGAGAGATTTATTTCTCCGACGGGAAATTACAAACTGATTGAAGTGAATAAATTCAAATATTAAATTGATTTTACTTACGAGACAACATTACAGCAAATAATGACATGTAAACGTATACGATGGCACTTAAAATAATAACTCAATAGTCATTCGGCCTTTGGTAAGGATCCATGTAAAAAGTGATTTTCCAATCGATTTAAAACTATTTCATTTAAACCTTTGCGAACGGGACAACGACACAATAAATAATAATTAAATGCGACTGAATCGCACACTTCACGATCTCATTTCGTACAGAGGAGGTATTTGAATGCATATGGAGTGATTCAAGCGACGTGCTGCATATGGTTACAGCACAATTGGGTTGAGGCAAAAGCAAAATTAATAGGAACGCCAGAAACGAAATGAAATGGTTTTTTTTCACACAAAAAAATTAATATAGAGTTAATTAACAGAGGATTCTTCAGTGCTCGCTCTGTTCGTTGGCGTGCTTATGAGGTTTTCTAATGAAGGAAAAATGTAATTAAGAAATTTTTGAGTATGATCGTTCAAGAAAGTCCCATAGGCTGTTATATGTTTCGTGGATTTACACCACGTATTCACGAACGAACATGCCGTCTAAGAAATTTCATTTCTGCAAAAATACTCTACAAATTCAACGCAATGTTCGGTACAAAGTTTTGAGGAATATTGGCATTCGATTTGTTATTGCATGATCATTGCATTGAAACCAAATCACACACAAATAAAGCAACCATCAGATGATTCAATAAGTATCCGCATAGCCACGGCGTTCTCATCCCAACACTGACAAATGAAAACTGTACGTAGAGCATTTTGCTGAAAAGTTTGTGAATGCTTCAACTTTTCTATACAGATTGCAAACGAACGCTACAGATCATATGGAATTCACAGTAGTCGCATTGTAACAATACGTCACAATGGGATGATGGTTTAGCGGTTTGAAAAGCAAGCACAGTAAAGTGCTGAAAAACGCCGATCAAGTAAGTGATCGTTACAGAACAATGATAAAAAACGATGAAATAGTCGTCGAGATCAAAAGCACTTGCGATTGTTTTTTGTTTTTGAATTTGCGGCTAGTCTTAAGTGTCAGTCACATAACTTATGAGACGGAGAAGTTACCGGTAATCTGCCCGAATGAAGTGACTAAAGCGAAGCAGGCGATTATCTCGTTGAAAAACAACGAAAACATTATTTGGCATGGTTGAGCGAAGCCAACCAGCGAGCATCGATTAATTTGCTCAGTGAATAACAACCAATAAAAATCGCGGTGCTCTGAGCAGAAAAGTGAAATTGGTTTTCGGGAATTAAACGAGGTGCATACAACAACACACATTTGCATGTGAAGAGTAAATGGATTTAGAGTTGTTCGTAGTGAGCCAGTGTTGTTGTGCTTTGAGTGAAAAATGATGTGTATAGCGGGTGGGCATTAAAACGGTTTCAAGTCAGCGAAACGACGAAAAACGAATCAACGCAAGCTTCACGGCTCAGCGAAGCTCTTCATCTGACGAGCATTCGGCTGGTTATCCACCAGCACCAGCACCACGACCACGACCACGACGACGACTATCAACCGACCGACTGGCAAGCAAGCAGCCAGCCAACCATACGCAGATAAAATAATGCACATACACGAAACGCAATGAAGGAAGGAAGGAAGGAAGGAAGGAAGGATTTAGCGATAGCTATTTGAAGC